TATATATATATATATATATATATATATACACACACACACACACAAACACACACAGATATATCTTTATCTGTGTGTATATATATTTAGGACAATATTACAGTGAAGCTGTAATATTGTCCTAAATTCTTACAAATGCTGAGTGCTGGGGGTGTGGTGCTGAGGCAGGAGGGGGTGGGGGGGTTGTTATTGTGAATGAGGGACACCATGACGTCATTGAAACGATGTCAACAAAGCAGCTCCTGAGTCAGTGAACGCGCTCCATGTCCACACTCAGAGCAGGGTTCGGCTCCATGTGGACCCGCAGCGCCTGGTGACGGACCAGCTCAGACCCAGGTTCGGCACCATGCGGACACGCAGTGACCTGTGACTGGCCGTGGACGTGCAGGAGGAGCCGGTGAGTTCCAGCTGCGGCTGCATGTGTCCCACTGAGGTGGTCTACTCGGCGGTTCGGGGCTGGTGGGTGATGCACACCCACGCACCGTGGATGTGCATCACTGATCCTGATCCTGACGATGCTGTGCACGCGCCTCTGTCCACAATGCACGGACGCTGCGGGTCTTTGTGTTGGTCGGTGGGGGGGTCCTCACGGTGGGAACGCGGTTCTTCACTACTGGGAGAGGACAAAGGAGGCGGCCGCCGCTCCACCCTCAGCCGGGGAACAAAGCGCTGAGGGCCGGTGGAGCAGCCGGAACCAGAACCATCAGCAGTTCACAGAACCATGCCAGAACTGAGCTCTCATTAAGAAAGACATCACATTTAAAGTGTCAGTGTGTGACAGCATGGATGCACTGTGCACACGCCTGCTTGTGCAGGATGAGCTCTTTGTTATGTGCAAACACTCCTCCAGCTCAGAGCTGCAGGTGCTCTGATGCTCTGCTGCCTGCATGAACACAGCCAGGATGGGTTCAGATCAGCTTCCAGGTGCAGGTTGAGATCCTTCAGGTTGGTCCTGAGGTGGTTCATTTTACTGGAGCTGAGCTGCTGATGGTGATGAGTTTAAAACCCAGCGGAGCTGTGGAAGGGGGGGATTAATCCCAGTATGGATGGGGATGTGGTGTTTGCCATCGCTGACAATAAAGACTTTGCTTCATAATGAGTCGATGAGCACAGTAAACAAAGACAGGATGATGCTTAATAAAAGTAAAGTTAAAAGTAAGGCATCATAGTGATTAAAATCTGGAAAGTGTGGCATGCACATAAGCTTTCTAATGCTTTGTAGAGCCATCCTTTGTTCAAATTACAGCTGAAGCTGTTAAAGAGCATGTCTATCAACTTGCAAGTCTAGAATTATTATGTTATTTTCCATCCCTCTGATATAGTTTAGATTGATTTCCTGCTTACGAATAGAATATCTTGATTTTTAGACATCCATACTTTACTGTAAACATTCAGATCTCTTTGTGATCTTTAAAGCTTAAATGCTCTTTTCGATCTTGATCCTGCCTTAAACATCACAACCTTCTCCTTGATCTTACATCTCTTTTATCTGGTCTTCATGATTCTGTCTACTGTAATAAGGCGTTTTCCCATTCTCTTTATACATTTCATTTTTAGTTTTGGACCAGAATCCCATGATTATCTACATTAAATGTTGTGATCCACTGTTTATGAAAATAAAGCAAAGATCAGAAGAAATCAATTAGAAACTGAGGAGAAATGATCAAACGAATGTCTACTAATTGTTGTGATGTTACGGGGAGCATTTCTGCTCTTTAACTGTTTCCTGGGTGATGATGCTTCAGTGCTATGCGATTCATCGCAAGAAATTTTGTTAAAAACAGCTTTATTTGCACTTAAGTGTCACATTAAAGTGAAAACATGAATAAATACATAAAAATAGTAATATAAACATATGACTGTATATTTACAGTTCTAACATTATTGATTTATTTTTTAATAAATAAAATAACCAGTTTTACAAAACATTCAGCAGTCTAATGGCAGTGGGGAAGAAACTGTTATGGAATCTGCTGCATCGGATGCTTCGAAGCCTCTTCTTAGAGGGCAGCAGGGAGGACAGTCCATGGTGGGGGTGTGAGGGGTCATTTGTGATGTTACGGGCTCGGGACACGCAGCGCTGGGATGAAATGTATTTAATGGAGGGAAGAGGAGCCCCGATGATCCTCTCTACTGTTATCACCACTCTTCTCACCTTCTTCCAGTCTGAGGCACTGCAGCCTCCACACCACACAGTGAGACAGCAGGTCAGAACGCTCTCTATGGTGCGTCTGTAGAAGGTGGGGAGGATGGGTGGGGGCAGGTGGGCTCTCCTCATCCTCCGCAAGACGTACATGCACTTTTGTGCCCTTTTGGTCAGTGAGGTGGTGTAAACAGTCCAGATGAGGGTGTCTGTGATGTGCACCCCCAGGTTTTTGGTGCTGTTGATGACCAGTGGAGCGTGGTCAGGCCGGTTCTTCCTGAATTCCAAGATGATCTCCTTCGTCTTCTCCACATTCAGGATCAGGCTGTTATCTTTGCACCGGCCCAGCAGGCAATGGCATTAATATGGGATGTCAGTCCTGCTGTTTAATCTATAGTCTAAAAAGGTTACTTAAAGGTATTATTATTAGGATTTTCGTGATTTTTGTTAACGCCCCACCCTCTCCAATGTAAACAAAAAAGCACATGCACAACCCTGTACCTGCTCCTGAGAGGGAATGCCTTATAAACGCGTACAAAAGCATGCATGTCTCCTTGTGCATGCTCCGTTTAAAAGTTGCTTTTCTCATAGCTCCTACAAGCTTACTGTGTACAAACGTCCGCCTTAACCCCTAAATCCCTCGATTACAATAGAGCGGGGACTATATAGTGGACTTTGCTTCCTGTTGGTCATGTAACTCCTCCTCCACCACACAGTGCCTTTGACATCTTTGTTATAATTGTAGTCGCCACTGTCGGGTAGCAGCGGCAAATCTGAGGATGATGAAATCCCATAATGCTTTGCGAGGAGAGCTCTCCTCGCAAAGCATTACGGGATACATCTGCCTCTTCTGAGGCCTTTTTTTTTTTCTTCTCATACACTTCTTACACACCTTTTCTCTTACAAACCTCGGCCATTTTGAAAGAACCATGGCGAGAAAGGTGGGCTTCAACGACTGTCTGAAACCGTAGCTCACCACAGATATTCGCCTGAAAGTGCGCATGCACAGAAAAAGATAGCTAACTAGACGAGCATGTAGGACGGCCGTACGTAAACAGGTCAACAGAATGATTGACAGTTAGAAAGACCACTTATTTTGATGATCCACCCGGAAATAAAAGATACCTTTAAAGTCAAAACAGGGACTTTAAAGGTATCCTTATCCTGAGCTTTCTACCGTATTTTTCACATCAGAACCAGGTGAACTCGCCAGTCTGGTGTATTTTGACAATGATACTTGATGAGCTCTGTTATTTTTTTCTGGTATGACAAAAAAAAAAATAGTTTGGACTCTGAAATTAAAGCTCTGGGTTTTATTTTCATCCAGACCTAGTTTAAATGTGGGCTCTCCCTCCTGTCTGACTGCTGTAGAGTTTTAACGTGTGACTCATTTCTTAACTTTCCCTGAAACCTGATGTGTCTGATCCAGTTTCTATTTCCTGGGCTGCCTGTAGGCTGGGTTTTATGACTTGACTTCATACAACGCTTAGAGGAAACTGAATCCTAGAGTTAGCAGGAGCTAACAGAGCTGAGGGTTTCCAACCTGGACAGACTGGTTCCTTAGGTCTGAGGATTCTGCCATGAAGGTCTCTTTGTATTTGGACCTCTGGTTGATCTTGATAGTTTCTGAAAGCCAACACATTATCAAACAGCAGGAAAACGAACAAAAACTTGACTGGACTCAAAGGGTTCTTCTGCTGTGTTTGATTCAACAGCTGAAGCTCACTGTGCGTCATCAGATCTTTATAGCCTGGTATGAGGAGGGCTGGCCACCCAGGGGATAAAGGTTCTGGGTGACCTCAGAGTTCAGGTTTCTGGGAGAGTGTCTGTGTACAAAAAGGAGACAATGATGTCATCGCAGGATGTTTATCAGGATCCCCTCAGAGATGTCTGCTTGACATTTCTGGATCAGACTTCTTCAGCCATTTAAATGTAAATGTTTCTCAGACTCAATTTAGAAACTCTTACAAAAAGTATCTTTCTACAATCTGATGTGAAAAGGATACTTTTCAATGTTTTAGTTGTAAATATACCTATGATTTAATTAAAATAACGGTTGGAGAAGACTATGATGTTTTATTTAACCAGATGATCTTATTTGATTATTTGAAAGATACTGTAGAAGGTAGCAGGATGCAACAGGGTGCAACAGCATGAGACGGGATGAAGCAGGATCTTGAAGGATGCAGGATAAAGCTGGATGCAGCAGGGGGAAGCAAGATGAAGTAGGAGGCTACAGGCAGCAGCTCTTAACAGGATAAAGCAGCATGAAGCTGACGGACGCAGCAGAATGTACCAAGATGTTGCAGGATACAAAACAAAGGGACATCGTAGTAGGTAGCAGGATTGAGCAACATTTAAAAAGATGAAGCAGAATGAATCAGCAGGATGCAGGGGTATGTTACAGGATGAAGCAGGAAGCAGCAGGTTGCAGCTAAAGGAAGCAGGAAACAGCAGGATGCAGAAGCTCAAGGAAAGATGAAGCAAGTTGCTGCAACATGCAACAGAAAAAAGAAGGAAAGCATAGCGGGATGCAGCAGAATGAAGCAAGATGTTGCTGACTTCAGCAGTATGTAACAGGATGAAGCAGGAAGGAAGGTAGAAGCAGCAGGTCCAAGCAAGGTGTAGCAGGATGCCTTAGCATCTAACAGAATAAAGAAGGATGTAGTAGTATGTGGTAGTGTTTAGCAGGAGGTATTAAGAGACAGCAAGATGGACATTAAAAAGTGTCAGTGTTTTAACCAGTAAAAAAAAATTAACTATAATATATCAGGAGGCAGCTAGGTGCAGCGGGCGCAGTGCAGTGTGGTAAGACAGAGTAGGCTGCAGCTTGATGTGGGAGATAGTTTTCAAATTTAGAGAAATTAATGAGAGATGATATTTCAAAATAGTTTTAAAGCAAACATTGTTTCGTTTTGATATGAGAGATCAGCCGATACAGCAATAATCTGAATTCTGATCACAGAAGACTTTGGACCGGTGGGCCGAGGGTCTGTTTAGATGGTGGATCAGTCAGACCAGAGTGATTCTTTAACACAACCATTAAATAAAGCCACCTCTGATATGATAGGTACGTTTTAATGTCTCAGATGGCGCTCTTGTCTTTTATTGTTTGGAGGGTAGTAGATGCAAATATTGATCCATATTTAAACCTAGCAGAGCATGTATCTAGTTGGAGTTCAGCTGAGAATTATATGAAGTGTATTTATTAAATCATGCTCACAAATCAATGCTGGAGAGCAACACAAACTGAACCACATTACGATGAGCCGGTTGGTTAGTAGCTTGAGAGGTCAATCTTAGGTCGCATGACACCAACCGCCTCCTCCTTTAAACCTCTAACTGGATGAAAGGCTTCAGAGACAGATTGTAAAACACTAGATCAGGATAAAAAAATGATGTATTGCTGTTCCTGTGATCCTTAAGGAGCAACAGATGGTTTAAAGAAATCAGAATGATGATAATGGTCAGAGTGTGGGTTCGCAGTGAGCCTTCTGAGGTGGGCTGCTTCAGCAGGTCTGACTCAGCGCAAATCTCCCAAACACACACACAGGCAGACTGCTCAGTCAGCTGTCTGCAGGGAGGATTTATGAACGACTGAATCACAAAGAAGCAGCTCTGCATGCAGTCTGTGTGCATGGCTGCAATGTCGCTTTAGAGCTCAGCTTTAGATCTGCTACTTTATATGTTTATTTCTCTGAATTGTAATATCAGGAACTGCCCACTCCTGCAGCAATAGAGACGTAATTATTTATTTCCCCCGCACTGGTTTCTGACTGTGTGGGAGAGTTGCTGCTTTCTGTAGAGAAATGTTAACATGTACTAAAGATTAATAACAAAATCATAATGAATATGATGTAACATATAGGCGATGGAGGAGCAAGTAAGGGGTTTGTTCCTTCATACTGTAAACTTGACAGGTAGAAAACAGCTGGATCTGAACTAGGAAACAGCAGGAATGGGGACTGGATGAGATCATAGTTAAATGGATCCAGAAGAGAAAATTACCAATGCAATAGAATCAGTAAGGAATGAGGACGAGGGAAACCAGACGGACAGTTAACATATATCAGACTGAATAGCATAATAACTAATAAAAAAAAAAAAAAAGCCAGGACCACAGCAGGATGTTGCAGAATGCAGCTTGATGAGCAGGAAACAGAAGAATACAGGACAATAAATGGTATATAGTGCATTATTGAAGGAAATGGTAAAACGTATAGGAATGCATCAGGATGTAGAAGGATGCAGCGGGATGTTGGAGAAAGCAGTAACACAGACAAAGGCAGAAAGATGCAGCAGGGTGAAGTTTGATGTTACATAAAGCACAGTGCAACAAATGTAGCCAATATATCTGGATGAAGGAGGATAGTGTTAGTTGTAGTAAGATTAAGACAGATGCAGTACAATGCAGAAACATTTTATCAGAAGAGATATACCATCAGACTATGGGCCTGATCCTGAAAACATTCACATTTCATAAAACACAATCAAACTTGTTTGCTTTGGCAGAGCGGATCTACAAACTATGTGCAAAGGGATTCACAGATCAGGTAAGGGCGTGCAAACCTTTTTGTTTGTGAGTTTGTGCCCCCATCAATAGGCAATTATAATGATGAACAATCTGCACAAATTTATGAATGAAAAATAGGAATATCTAAACATGTACCACATGCAAAGCATTTTGAAGTTCAACTTCATTTGCCGTTGTTGAGTGTATTTTTTAACCATTTTAGAGATCAGGTGCAAACTTCACCAAAAGATATATGCAGGGATTGTGGCCACAAAGAAGGCATTGGTACATTGGTAGATGATGGAGAAAAACTCTTTGCACATGTAAGTATATTTGGAGCTTTAGAAATAACAATAGTAGAATTATTTAGTTTTCATGCAGTCTGCTCATTTCAATGGGGAACCTGTTTGCGCCCAGTAGCGGTTCTATATGAAGCTTACAAAGGTGGCCAGCGTAGGAAACCAGTGTTTTTTTAGTTTTTTTTAAATGGGGGCAATAATAAAAGAAAGCAAACAAAACATAAACCAAACAAACTGAGAAAGTGTGCATCATTTAGTGTGTTAAGTGAGCCACAAAGCCAAAGTCGCAGATTGCTGTTATAACATGAAAACTGTGATCCTATCCTGATACAACTGAGGTGTGAAGCTTACTGCAATTTCTAAGTATTGATTTACGTTAATTGAAAAGCAAAATTTAAAATTAGTCGAGTAGGTTACACTCTCTTCAGTCAGCACATATCATCATAAGAATTCCACTATTATTATATTAATCATTAAGCTACAAAAACTGATCTGAAATAATAAACAAATCTCAAAATAAGAGTATTTACCCTAAATTTGAGTGAATATGATGCTCTGTAAGAATCTGTATTTTTACTCTCTATAAGTAAAAATAATATGATCAGATATTATTCACCTGAAGCTAACTGATTTTTTTGTTTTTGTTAGAAATGCACATCGTATTAGATTTTGCATTCATCTAACTTATGCTCAAATGAAGGTAAAATAAACTTCTACCAGAAAGCAGCGTATGTTTTCAGTATGGGGGCCATAACAGGGACCACTTCTGCAGGGGCACTGGCCCTGTTGGCTCCTGTCCAAACCGCCCACGTTTGCACATCTTGTCATTTATGCAAGTGGTCTTTCTAGATGACCTGCAACACGCCCACTTATTGCACGTGCAAAAAAAGATGTTGCACTAGAATTTAACACTCCTCATTATAAATCTTTGCAGATCCTGTGTCCCTTACAATCAAAATGTTCCATGTTGTGTTTTAATTATACTTTTACAAATGCCAGCAGGTTATTTTTGTCCATTTTATCCTGTTTATATACAGCTGTTTGTTCAAAAATGTGTGACATGACCTTTAGCATGTGACAAAACAATCTTCATACCACAGACTTATTCCATCTATTTGTCTCTGACGTTTTCCGGAGCACAGGCCCTTTAAATATGCTGCAAAATGATCTAAATAAAAGCTTCATCAATTTATTTTTGGTCTATGGTGAAATAATACCTTTTGTGTGTTTTGTGTGTTTAGTTTGTTCAGGGTGTCAGAGGAAGTGATGTCGGAGCATCAGCATGACAGTGAGGCGTCAGCGCCAGTGTACGTGTATGAATCCAAGGTGCACTGTGCCAACGTGTTACTGAGTCTGGAGGAGCAGAGGCGGCGGGGACTCCTCTGTGATGTCACGGTTCTTGTGGAGGGCAGGGAGGTCCGAGCACACCGGGCTGTCCTGGCTGCTAGCAGCAGCTACTTCCTCCAGGTTCTGCTGGGACACAACGAGTCCACGAGCAGTACAGAACCCATCATCAGCCTGCCAGACAAGGTAAAGGGCAAAACAACATGACACTGAAATAACCATATATGTTGATGTAGTTTCTGCTCCGTAATCTTTGCAATAAACAAAAATAAAAGAAATGTAACATAAAGGAAACTGTCTCTCCAGTCTAGTTCAGAGTTCTCTCCAGTGTGTTTTATCATCTTATTGTGCTGCTGTGATGCCTGAAGAGATGCTGATGTGAGCACAAACCTCAGACATGAACACAGCTGAAGCTGACAGCAGTGAAGGAGAATGAATCTGAGGATGATGAAGGATGAAAGAGGCCGAACCATTCAGGACACATAAGATAAACACGGCAGGAAAAGAAAAAAAAACAAAAAACATAGCAATCTTTTGGTTTTATTAAACATCTACTCATCGTTACATCCATTCACACCCCACAAAGCATCACTTAAGTTCTCACACCTCTTAAAACCTTTGTTCATGTTCTGTCACAGTATAACAGTCGGGGTAGAGCAGTAGTGTTATGCAGGTCAATTATGATATGCTGTTCCTACACTTGGTTAACTTAATTATTGAAGCTAATATAATATTCTGACAACACTCCTCTGATAAGGTGTATAGATTTATCATGCATTTCTACGGATATAATTTTCCCATTTCATAAATATTTAATAAAGTCTCATTAAGGCTGAGTTGTTTTTTTTTTTTCAGATAATCTTGCTGCTTTTTTGAATGGTTGATTTAACTTTTTCCTCACTTAAAAGTGTTTTTATTAAGTTTCTTTGCATACAATACATGCAGGGAAAGATGCCGTATAGCTTAAAAAAGCAGCTTTTAGCTATGAGCGCCATAAAGAGTAAAACATGTTTGTAGAGTCTCTCTCTTCTGCACCGAGGGCTGGATCTGGTGGAGGAGGACACAGGATGCGAATTCAACAATCTGCAGCAACCAATACAGTCTACGGCTAATTCTAAAGAATAGGAAAGCTTTCTATTTTCAGCTTTTGATAACTTTTTCATCAAGCCTTGCACATGAAAATGTGCTATTGTTGAATATCGGAAAAAAAAAGTGAACAGTTGATGATGACTAACTTCATGTTTTCAGCCGATATTGTAGCAAATGTGATCAAGCAAAGATAGGTTTTTCTCCAACATGACTGCATTATTGTGGTTTCTGTTTTTGGTTTAAAAAAAAAAAAAAAAAAAGAAACGTGAATAGAAAACATAAATAGCTAAAGATTGTTTGATTGACAGGATTTTCAGGGATCTGCACACTTTTGATATTCTTGGACTTTTTATTTGTAAAATACATTTCTGCTTAAATGTGACAAGAAAACCTCCATCCATCTTCTCCTGCTTAATCTGCCATGGTTATGGTGGGGCTGGTGCCTATGTCTAGCAGTCTATGGGCGAAAGGCAGAGGACACCATGGACGGGTCACCAGTTCCTTACACTGACAAGAAAAAAAACAGCAATATAAACTTTTTAGTATTTACTCTTTTCTTAATGAATATTTCTTATATGTCACGATTTCAAGTTAAATGTGTTTCTTTCTCTGCAGGTGACAGCTAAAGGTTTTGCTCCACTGCTCCAGTTCGCCTACACTGCCAAGCTAGTGTTAAGTCGAGAAAACATCCATGAGGTCATTCTGTGCGCTGACCTCCTTGGCGTCCACAACCTGGAGGACTCCTGCTTCCAGTTTCTACAGGCTCAGTTGGAGAGTGATGGACAGCAATCCAGAAATTGCAAGGCGGCTTATGATGAGGACGATACGGTCTTTTCCCGTGACCTTCCCTTTGTTAGCTGTTCAGAAACAACCAAGCAAAACTGTCAAACAGTCGATGCATCGCCTTCTGAAGATCTTCCACAAAGTCCTAAACCTTGGGGGTACCAGCACCAGGTTTTTGAAAACAAGCACAATAGATTGGGTCAAACGATTCCCCCTCTGACCAGTTCGGAGCCAACAGACACCGCCGCCGCTCCGCAGACCATTCTTACCCCCTCCAGGATTAAAGAGGAACCCTTTGAAGAAGCAGGACATGAGAGGAATGGCTTCCATGCAGAGATTGGCACTGAGGAGGTTCTAGAGATGGAACTGGAGGTCGAGGGAGTTCCAGTGGTGGAAAAGCCCTCTGCAGACCAGGAATTACCCTCATCCTGCCTGCGTTCCTACCTCCAGCGAGGTGGCCTGGACCTCGGCACCGTGACTGGCAGCACCATTCAGCAGCTTCTCACCAACCATCTGTCCATCAGCCACTACAGGGAGCTGCTCAAAGACAGGCAGCGGAGTAAGATGGACTCTCTAAACCACTCTAACCTCAGCAACGTCAATGGCAGGGAAATGCAGCAATTCAAAACCTCTTCTTCTCAGTATGAAGGAGAGTTTGACCGACGTACAGTCATTTTCTCCTCTGCAGCTGGTGAGCATCCTTCATTGTCTCACAGGGAGAAAACCTCCACAGAGCAAACCGAGACCTCTTCATCCGATCTGACATGCCTCACCAGCTCCCCCGTCTCCATCAACACCCCTGCTGCCTCTCCTGTACCATCTGAACCTCAAACTCAGATTTCCAGCTCCAAATCCTCATATCCAGATGATAAAGCCACTGGCAGCTCGCCGTCCAGCCTGGCCTTTGACCCCTCCTCTGCCCCACATGTTGGTTCAGGCTCTGCTCTTTCTCACTGTCTGGTGGGGGTAGTGGAGGCCAGGACACCCCTCAGGAGCGAGGTAGTCTTCAGCCAGGGTCACATAAAGATCAAAAGTGAGCAGGTGGTTGGTACCAGTGGAGGAAACTCCAGCGAAGAGTCTGAATCCTTCTCAGAAGGCGACAGCGAAGGTGGTTCCAGAGTCTCTGGACCTGAGGTTAGTATGGTTCCTACAGCTGTCATTATGGTCACTCCAGACAGGAAACAACAACAGGATTCAATACTTGCAGCTGGACAGAAGATTAACCGTCTGTGTTACTTCCTTTATTTGTTTTTTTTTTCTTAGTTTAGAATATCTCCAGCTAATCTGGAATCTGCTTCCTGCCAAACCTGCATATTTTATCATCCTACTTTAGGACTGAATTACTAAAAGCAGAGAATCACAGTAGATAAATTATGGAGAATTTAACTGTTCAAAGCTTTTGTTACAATTCATCTGGGAAGCTGAATCCAAAGTCAGAGGGACTTAAATCTCAGACAAAGTTTTTTTTTGTCATTTTATTCAGAAAATATGATGGCCCTCTCAACACAGCTTCACTTTGAAACATTTTTTAATTATTCTGAGACACAAAGCAATAGTTTTACTACTGCTATCTATGGATTAAACTGTAGCCATGACTTCAAAATTAATTAATCGTCACATTTGCTATGAAAAAGGTGACATGCTCCTTTGTGGTGTATGCAGGCATCCCCAACCTCGGTCCTTGAGGCCCGCTGTCCTGCAGGTTTAAGAGGTTTCCCTGCCTTAGCTCAGCTGATTATAACGATTGCAGTAGATTAAAAGCCTGTCAATCAGCTTTTAATTAAAATCAGCTGTGCTGGAGCAAGGAAACCTCTAAAACCCGCAGGACAGTGGGCCTCGAGGACCGAGGTTGGAGATGCCTGGGTAATCATCAACCATCAGATTCCCCCCAAATAAAAGGTTTGATAATGAAGTTAACAGCTTCCTCAGAGCTGAACAGGTGATTCAAACAGTTTTTTAGCACTGTGAAAATAACCCGACTTGCTACTTTTAGTCATTAAATATGCTGCAGTTAGCGTCTGCTTCAGACCCTTCTAGAGCCTGGACTTTATTCTCTCCAAGTTTAAACCTGAACGAGGTCATTTTTACAAAAAATCATCTGAATTTTTTTAGGAAAAAAAAAATTGAAGAGATTTTCATTTTTCTAGCAGCATTATAACCATATTTTGATAAGAAAAGCTTCATATGAACTGGATTATTGTAAAGTCTAGTTGCAAATCTAATATCAGGTTAAAATAGTGAGATTTGTCATAAAAAAACAAAGTGCCTAAATTTGGTACTGTGTTACTTCTGTAAGGTTGATGCCAATACTGATTACTCTGTCATTAGTCCAACCCTGATACATGATGCCGATTTTTGATGCTGATATTGCTTTTTTCTTTGATTTACATTACAAAAACAATGCATTACGTGCTTAAGCAAATTTGCCAACCCATGCGCTCATTGGCCGATGCTGCAACAAAAAATCCCCACACTAATATCAAGCAAAAATATCGGCCTGTCAATTTATCTGTTGGCCAGTATTCTAATTCTCAGGGAGATTAAACGTTAGAAATAAAGGGTTGGCTTAAGGCTTTAAATGATCGCAGTTTCATATCAATTGATCATTAAATGATGATGGAGTTTGGCTTAAAAAGCAGTTTCAGTGATGAATCTTGCCTTCGTTTTGCATTTTTGTCAATGTGAAACGAAGGCAAAATGGAATTAACGCTTGCTTACTCCTTTGACTGACTCTATATGTTATAAGGTGAAACTAATATGAAATTAAAATTGATCACAATTTCTGGCATTTTATTCTAATAGCGATAAAACTCAAGTTACATAATGTGGTGCTACTGGGCAGTTAATGGTAAACAATTACTGCACTGAATCATACTCTATAGTGTGCTAATACAGTTCGTATGAAACCAAATAATACAAAAAACAGTTCAACCAAAACAGGTAAAATTTCTAACTATGTTGCCAGTATTATGGACTTGCAGCCATCATTAATTTGAGTTTATTTCTGTCACAATACATAGCTTTTTTTTTTTTTTTTTTTTATTACAATAAACAATGTCATACGGTAACTGCCAGCCCCAAGATGTTCTTTCTCAGTAAAGGCAACAAGTAATTAGATTAATTCTTGAAATCTTTTAAAGAACCAAATCCATCCTTCTTTAGTTCTGCAGTATTTCTATCTCCTGTCAAAAATAAAGGATGTTAAATTTCCCTTTTAAGGGTGAAAGATGCTGATGAGCCACACATGAACAACCAGAATGGCTTACTGTGATACTGCCACCTGCTGGATATTTGCCCACATTACGCTCACCTTTCTACATTCAGCTGATTATTTTGGATTGAATGTTTTTTGTTATCTTGTTCAGATCAGGATTATTCATTTCTAGTCCTTTGGGTCATAAAAAAAAAGTAGAATATATAACTTTTATTATGAAAAGTTTCTGCTAAACATGATAAAAGCTGATCAATATATTAATAGTTTATGTCAGATTTTCCAGGAATGCATCCAAAAATTGTTCATCTAAAAATTTTAATCTGTGCAAATGAATGATGTATTCAAATGTACATCAACGACCAATAGCCTGATCTGCATATCCATCTAAATCTTTTCCTGGAATTTTATATGAGCTGTAACAAAACAGTCAAGTCGTTAGACTGGAGCTCATCAGTTTAAACCTCTTGGTGCTTTCAGGTGAAGCTGCCTTTCCCTGTGGATCAGATCTCCAACCTCCCTCGCAACGACTTTCAGGTTCTCATCAAGATGCACAAATTGACCTCAGAACAACTGGAGTTCATCCATGACATCCGGAGACGCAGCAAAAACCGCATCGCTGCTCAGCGCTGCCGCAAGAGGAAGCTGGACTGCATTCAAAACCTGGAGAGTGAGATCCGAAAACTGGTAGGAATTTTTTAGACACACACCTCCACACGGTTCTGCTTTAAAACTGCACACATTTCTTAGTGGGTCTAAAAAGTTGAAGTGAAGTAATAAAAATTGAAAAAATGTCTAGGCTCACTTCAGTTTGCTTTTTATGCATCAGTCTGACCCAACTGTGTGTTTTCTGGATGCAGGTGTCCGAGAAGGAGAAGCTGTTAAGTGAGAGGAACCAGCTTAAGGTCTGCATGGCAGAGCTTTGGCAGAACCTCTCCTTCCTCTCCCAGCAGGTGTGTAGTGAGGTCCAAAGTAGCCAGACTCAGCCGGTCTCCGCCACCATCGACCTTACATCAGATTCTCTTTCGTCCTGTCCGGACCAGGACTCTGCAAAGGCCAGGTCCTCTGTGTCGCTGCAAGACGGGGTCAGAGAGAATCCCGAAGAGCTTAAGAGTCGACAGCCAGTCCAGGATGATGGTCCGCTGGTTCTGGTATCTAATGAGGAATTGTGTAGCCCCACAGTGACAGTAGATTTCTGTCAGGAGATGACAGTGAAGTGCACAACGGAAGAGGCGGACACACTGGACTCATCTTGAGCAGAACCTGTTTACTCACCTGAGGGGCACACCTGTAATTTCTTCAGCCCCAATGGATGGATGAGATCCGCTTGGGGCATTATGAGAATGGCCAGGTGTGTTTTCTCTTTGGATGGCGGGGAATTAACAAGATGGCAGCTTCCTCTCCTTTTGTGAGCATTTCATTCTCCGGTTTATCTCGGTTTTTCTCAGGAAATATACAAACTGTTCTGTTTTCTCCTCGTTAATGCTTCCTTATCGCTTTGTTGAGTCTTATTTACAAAACCAAGTCCATAATAAACGGAGCAAGAGGACCAAACTAAATTTCTTACAGAGCTTCATGTTGGTCTAGAGAAAAAGGAAAGTTTCTTTTTAACATTGAGAGCCGTTGTTTACATAGAGATTTATTTTTCACCTGCTCACCTCTGTAATAGGTTCCTCCTTTCTATGGAGCTGTTTTCTTGGAAAATATGGAAATACCAACATGTGTGAGCAGCAGCATCACTAGGTGGGCTTATTTGCTACAAGGGAACAGAAAATTCTAATTGTCATATCTTAAAAACACTCAAGGTCAGTTTTCTCCATCACCAGTTTAAATTGACCATTTTGTACTTTTTAAACAGATAATTTTAGACCCATCTATTGGGTGGATCCATTTGTATCCCCTATTCCTGTTGAGTATTTTCCTGACTTTTACATAGAAAAATGCCAAATATGGTCTGTACTGTAACTAAATTGTAGGTTATATTATTATCTAAAATCTATGTATTGTAATTTTTCCATTTAATTTAATTTAGGGTTGGCTATCATGAAATATGCTGATTGAAATCAGAACAACTCCAAAAGTGACCTCCATTAATATTGGTTATATAGTAGTTATACAATAATGATTTCTTACAGCAGACTGAGTGAAATATCTATATAAAAAAAAAAGGGTATAAAAATTATGCGTGGTTGTTAGGATATTCACCAATAGATGGCACAAAAACTAGAATTGGAAGATGGGGAGGATTTGAAAAGACTGAAAACTATAAAAACTGAAGCAAATAACAAAAGTCCTCTCATCATGATTAAATTTAAATTCACGTCATCTCATTTAGAGCTAATGGGTCACAACTCAAAAGGATTAATGTGGAAATAAGAAACCAAATCACAAAAGAAAAAGCTTCCAGGGATCTTATAGGAAGTAAAATGATATTTTGCCGGTGGTGCAGGGTGGAGCATGGCAGTGGAGGGTTGATGATTTACAGTAGGTTTGTTTTGCAGCCTCAGGATCCAGACACTTTCCAGCCTTTAAGCCTTATTACGTAATGTAATTGGCAAGATCATCAAACCAATATTCTCCATTTCCTAAAAATAACATTACCACAGCTGGATTTCTCACCATTGCTGCTGTTATCCCTCTCTGTTTTAACATCTCTGAACTTCCACCGAAAAAAAAAACAGCAGGAAAATGGTGAGCCAGACAAGGAGCAGCTCTATTTAGTTATCTAGTTGTCATCTGTCACATTTGCTTGGAAGGTAGTCAGCTAAATAGTCTGTCAGCGCCGCCTTAATTACTGTTTTATGACTCGTTGGGACTCATTTCCGTCTTTGTCAGCTGACAAAGCTACATAAATCTTAACCAAGACATTCTGAAATTGTTAGTTCATTCTGTGTCTGTTAACTTTTAAGGTACCTTTTTACTTACTCTCACCAGGCTTCTCTTCAAAAGAGCATCCAGCAAGCATGAAATGCGATAGCAGAGCAGGAGATGAAGACAAGGATTTCTTTTAGAATGTTTAATTTTTGTAGTGCATGTAAATGGATTAGATCGGATACAGAAGTTATCCGTTGTTTTTCCCTGTTATTGGATTTTTACTGTTCTTGAAAAGGTGCTTATTGAGTTGACCAAGCTGGGTCCTCAGAAATGACCTCTGATGCACCTCATCTACAAACCAATTGCTGAAAAGGAGATAAATCAGTGTCGTAATAATGTAGACCAGACCAAGTCTGAGTCGGATTAAAATGTACTGAATGGATCTTAAGAGAGCTGTGTGGAAACAAACCTCCTCACTGAAGAATCGTAGTTACCTAAAATAGTTACTTAAAACTGAAATCTGCCCAAGCTAATATTTTTTTTATTTTTGTCTTTAAGCTCTCTATAGTTTAAAGATTTATATTTATCCATCTGGTTCCAGTTTCTCTTCCCTGTTGTCGTAGAGCTACGCCTGTGGGTCAGTACGAGTAGCTGACCTCTCCTCGATCTGTTTACATTCCAGCTCGGTGTTTTCAGCATTTCTCACTTAGTTTCACCCCCATCTGTTCGGTATGAAAATCAATTGGTCCATCGGGTGGAGCAATGGGGTTAAACTGGGTTACAAACTGCAGCAGTTCAGTGGGATTTCCTGGAACAAGCTCTCCATTTTAGTAGTCAGTTCTTGTTGTAAACTGATAGGAAACATGAACAAAATCAATCATTTAAATGAATTATTGAGATTCCTGACCACTCTTTTTTTTTTTAAACACATCCTTTGTTTTATATGCTCTCACTGCTGCCTCCTGTTGGTAATATCCTTACAACAATTTATCTAATCTATTTTATAATCATTTAATGCAGAGTGAAATTCAACCAGATTCAAAATGCATGAAGGGGTTTGTGTTTGTAGGCGTTTAATTTAGATGTTTTATTGGAATGTGTTAGTTTAAAAAAAAGATTTGATAGTAAAACTGCAGCAGAACTTCTACATCTGCAGCCCTGATCCCAGGTAATAAACTTCCAGGCTGTAACCAAACTGTGTGCTCACTGCACCCAAGCAGTTTTCTCTAAATCAGATAAACTTGGAGTTCAGAAGAGAAAAGATTAGGCAGCAAAAACACAACCTAGTCACGATTAACTCGTATAAATATAAGCTCTACTGTAATAATTTCAAAAACCCAGGTTCCTGCTTTTCAGCTTAAGGTTGATATAAACCAACAAAATCTAAAGTTTCTGTTCCCAGATTCTGCAGCAGCAACTAAAGACTCGAACTCCTATATTGGTGCAACTTCAAAATTCACGTATCATGTAAATTTTTTTGAGCCCGTGATCAATTTGTTCTGACACACCAGTTTGTCTAATGGTGGATGGTTTTCAGTAGGAGCTCTAAATAAACACTGTGGCACAGTATTGATCGGTGGGATGCCAAATTCATGTGTTGAAAAGTCGATAAGGGATCACGTGGAAGCACAGAGTGCTGCTGCTGTTTGTGTCTCGCTCCAGTGGGTCCTGGCACTGCAGTCGGCTCACCGGTTTCCACAGTAGGGTCAAAGGGTCACTGTGGACCTCTGCGGCAGGCGATGTAAAAAAATCCACCTTAAGATGCTGTATTTTCTTTAATTTATTCATTTGGAATCTTTGTGGATCAAATGCCTGTGGATATTGCTTTATTTTTTTCTATTGTTTTTTTGTTTTATTCTTAAATCTGTTCATATATAACTTTTTATTAACTTGTAATATTTGGCGTTTTCCTCCTGTAACATAGAATTAAGCATAATTCAGTCACAATGATATTTTCTATTTAAATATGTACAATGTTTTGATCACTTTTTGAGGGAAAAAAAAACTAAAATCTTCCTGGTGCAGCTCTATTTTCCACCTTCCAGCCCCTAAAGGCCAAACTGTCATCTGAGGGAAGCAGTGATCTGATCAAACAGATCCAGAAATCAGTGCATGATACGTAAAGATGGTGCCACTCCTGTTGGAGAAAAATGTGATTACTGCTTGTGAAGTATGTTCAATCAGTTGATTTAACTGCATTTTAAAAAAGAAGAATCATCAGATACATTATGACTCCAGCTAGCCTTTCAACAACTGAACGTACTGGCTTTGTAAAATGTGCCGTAAATTGGAATGAACCATTCTTCTAATTAGTGGAACATTTTCCTTTCATGTCAAGGCTATGAAAAAATGACAGCAAAACAATATAGAAAGGCAACGTTCATCATCCAATGTATAGATAACCTTGCAGGTCGGCTGTGGAGGATGAAATCTCCTTTCACCAGAAATCACCAGATTTCCCAGTTTCTTCTATACATTTTCAGCTAGATTTAAATGCAATATCGTTCTAAAAAAACCAAAAAAAAAACAATAATGAAGCCATCCTAAAAAGCAACGTCATCATCAGCCAACCTACACTGGGTTATTGGAACTAGATAACATCCATTTGTACATTTCATAATGAATTACTGACATGCAGGTTAATATGTCATGACTGTGAGTCGGCATTTCTTTAGACGGACATCTTTGGATGCTTTTTCAAAATGGTACTGAACAAACTATGGAAGTCTCTCTGACCAAAGCTGATCAGATTTTATCACAGAATAAAACATTCATCCTACCATAACCTCCTTACATTTTTTTTTAATAATCTTCTACTGTTTCAGTCAACAGCTCTCTTTTTTAGTTCAACGTTGTCTTTCAGACAACCAGCTACAGAAGCGCTTTTATTCCAACTATCTAAATCAGACATGCAGGTATTTATTTTAGAAATACAAGATGCATAATGTGTTTTCATTCTTGCTTGATCAGCAAAAAAAGATGTCTCATTACTTCTAATAATGTTTAATTTGATCCATTTTTGTTTTAGGCATGATTTACAAAGCCAGACTATCAATTTATCGATAAGGTGTCCTACGAGACAAAAAAGTATTTATGACGCCCATGTTTTTAAAAGAAACTGACTTTAAAAATGGGCTGAGATTGGAGTATCCATGAGCTACATCAATGGTTTCCATCCTTGCCCTCAGGTCCTATTGTCTCCCGTGTTTTGGGGTTTCCCTGCTCCCAAACATCCAATCTAAATAAAGAATAGCAACCTGCAGAGGAAGTAATGCAATTATTTTTTCCAGGTCTACTAGAGCAAAAAGATATGCAAAACACGCAGGGCATTAGGACCTGACGGCAAGGATACTGTAAGGGACCACTGCATTACATTATGGCCCCACGTTGGTCGTCTATACTGCTTTTGATATACTAGCATTTATTGGACCCATATTGGCAGGGACACTGTTGTAAAATTCGCCTAGATTGGATTATTTTCAAGATATCTAATGAGCCCAAGTTTGTTGCCGATGCAGGTTTGATACAGGTCAACCCAACTTTCACATATGCGCCCATAGTGGTCATAAATGACTGAATAGTACACCTAGATTAAGTAATTACCAAGGTATATATTCAACTTGAAAATGCAAATTTGATAAAGGACAACCCTAGGTAAAAAAAAAAAAGAAAAACTGGGACCAATAAGATTTTTGAATAGGTTCTGTGATTTCTAGAACTTTTTTTTTTTTAAAGCTTATTTAAGATCCATTAAATGCCTGTACAAGATTCCCAATTGGTTTTGCCGATATAATTCATTTTTAAACAACCCAAATAGGCCCAAAAACAAAAGGCCCATTTAGTAAAAAGCAGATTATCTTGGTTGTTATTCAGACTGACCTCAGATGTTCTTCCTAAAACCATCACTCAATACAGAAAGAACACTAAAAGGACCCTTGACTTAATTTCTTACATGGTGTTGATAATTATATCAATATTCTGACCTTACTCCATAAACATGACTATACAGACACGGTTTTACTTTGAACTGCAGCTCTGTTCCATGAGCTTAACTTTCTGCAGCTGAACACAATTCAGGAGAACTTCTGCAAACATATTAAACACAAGAAGAATCCATGTTTGGATTATCAGCATTCCTTCTTTCTGACAGACTGTATTTCTTTGTAGTTTTGTGGACCATTTTTTACCTGTTTTGTGCAACTGTTATCTGATGACTGTTATTTGCAGCTTTTTCTTTTTAAGTCTCAGAATGATTTTTCTCTGGCTTTTGTAAAAACTGAACAACATGTCACATCCCATTTATTTGATAAGAAAAAAAAAATCTGACAGGAAAAAAAAAATGTTTTTGTAGAGAAATAAAAGCATGAGGACTGTTGACGGTGTGTTCTGGTTAAATATGTCCATGTGTTTTTGTTATTTTACATTTAAATGAAATGAAAGAGTTTTCATATAAATGACTCTACACAGACTCAATCTGTCCTTGACTTAAAAAGTTAGAGTTACAGAATCAAGCACATCCTCTTTCAACATCATCCAGCTTTTGGTTGTGAAAGGCTTGTGTAGACTTTGTAAGGTGCTTTGAATCATGCTGCTCTGCTGCAGGGGAGTCCGCTGCCTCATCATGGCCGTTCCTGGCCCCATGTGACTCGCTTGGTGAATCGATTGATAGCTGATAAAGTTTCTCTCCATATGCTGTAACTCATCCTTGAATCCTCACTTCTTCATGATGGAGGAAATATCCAGGAACATACTCTGAAAGACACAGACACATTGGTTTTTACACCACACCAGTAGGCTTATTAGATCACTTTCTGGTTACCATGTTGTGGGACTAATTAATGCATGGAGCAGTTTGTCTGTTTGGCAGCAGGATAATGATTTTTCCAATATACAGTCGAATAAACAACATGGAGAGGAGCAGGGGTCACTAAAAGTCCTTATTACCCAATTGACCTTTTTTCTAGTTTTTCTCTTTGCTATGACTTTTGAGCTGAGTAGAGTTTCAAGTGTATTACCTTTTATTTGTGAGGTGTTCGAAAAAACCTCACCCAAAAACAATACCAAAAAGGTGGAGAAAATTACCTAACAGTTATCCATTTATCTGTCCTTCTGATTGTCCATCATCTTACACTTTGCATAGGCAGCTTTAACCCTTTTTTTGCGAATTGTATTTTATTTCAAGCATGATTTGTCGTGACCTCTACACAATTAGAGTAATATATTGTTTTTAAAAAACCTGATGTGCACAATCAGATACTTGTAGTCAACAGAAAATTAACAGTAAACTGCAAATAATTACCTAATGTATCAAAAGTGGTACGAAGCAAACCTGCTGCAACTGTGCAAATTTATATGAACTTCTTTAATTTTCATTTGGCAGAATATTCAAAAAAGACTAGTTATAAAAACAAAATTCTTTGAGAGTTATGTCATTGTTCAGGCTTTACAGGGTTAACAGTGAAACCGTAATTTCCCACTCCATCTACTCTACAGATGCTTCTAAAATAATCCAATGAGAGAGAGTTGAATGCATGAGTTCTAGGTCTCTAGATCAAGACTGTCTTACACTGAGGGCTGTCCTGGTGCAGTATTTTTTTAAGCAAAACCTTCTTAATATGTGAGCGCAGTGGGCACTGGAGGGGAGCGTGAGGCAATGTTCTTTAGTACCTTTTATTTGCAGGTCTGTGCGGCCCTGGCTGGTTTTTAAATGCCAATAATTGAGAGTAATGGGTCGGGTCTTGGTTATGAACTCTACGGGTATAGGTGGATACTGTTTTGAAGAAATCAGACCTGTGCAGGACTGCAGGTGTGAAGTATCTCAAACCCCTCCCTAGGGAGGTACAGAGGAGGCATCCTGATCAGATAAACCCTTTTTGAGGACCAGCCCTACCTCAGGCCCGTAGATAATAGAGCTCCTCCCTACGTCTCTTAAACTTAAACCTGACATCCTGACAGAGAAAGGTAAATTTGTGCACTTGTATCTAATGTATCAATTCTTCAGCCAGAAAACCAGAAAAATAACTCAAAAGGTAATTTTTGTATCATTACCGCAGATGAACCCTGAGTCACCTGCTTTATTTCGCAGTAAAGAACAGACTACTCACTGTCTGAGGCCAAATTTTAATGGTGACTCCCCCTCTGGATTGGTACCAAGTTAAAGGAAGAAGATCAGCTCAATGTGAGGGAACTGTCTGAGACTGTGTTTGTCAAGACAGCTCTCAGGTTGAGAACTACAGACTGGCACATGTTGTCATGGTTTCATGCTGACAATAGAAATTCCTCATTCTGATTTTTCATTTATGAAGGCCATCTAATGAATTTATGAAATGTATTACATGGTCAACATATATGAACTGTTTTCTTGTTTTATTTCCATCTTAACCCCTAGAACCCTACGGACCCACCGGTGGGTCCAGCTGCTAC